ACGTTTTAGTTGCGTCATAAAAGTCATTGTGGCCAAGCTAGGGCTCGGTTGCATATGTCGTATAATAATCATTCAGAATCAGAATAAGAAAAAAATTAAGATCACAAAACTGGGGGCAGTGTTGGGATAGTTGTGCAAGTGTCCTGAAAAATCTGCTTTATTAGTATGGCCACAGCAAGTAATTTTTATGGATGACATCAGCGCGTGCATTGATTGTCGCCTGATTTTGGAAGAAAAAAAAACAAGAAATTTTGTTGCACTATGACAGTGGTCACCATGCCGAAAATGGGCAAAGATGCCGTGCCGGAGCATGGATGGCAGATAGATAATTATGAAGAGAGGAAACAAGACAAGGCTCTCATGTAATGTTTTGTCTTTTGCTGCAGTGATGTATTTCATTCCTTTTGTATGTGATGTTCCCACTGAATCAAAGCCATTTGTACAATGATTTATTTTTCAGTGACAATGGATGTTGTAATAGTTGACAGTAAACCTAGCACAATATGGGTATCATTTCTTGTTTAACAAGGTTTATGATGTCAAAATTTGAAAATGTAGGAATGTTGTTTTTTTGGCCTGCCTTGTTTTTTTTTTTTGCCCTATCGCATTAGATTTGGAGTCTGCGGTGGATGTCATCCATAAAATTTACTTGCCATGGCCTATGTTATACAGAAAAGGCTGTCTTAGAGCCTTGTTAGCGGTTATAGTGCTGCTATGGCCTGCTTGAAAATTCTACGATAGCGAAACCGTACGACGATTATGGCCCCGCCGTAAGCTTCCGATTTTCCCGTATGATGACGGCATCAATAACATCAATACCGTGCCGTTTCGCGAAATCCCTTTGGCAGAACGGATCACGCATTGCTGCAGAACGTCGGCCATACACGTATGATTGACATACATCTTCCCAGTGTGCAGATTGAGAATGTGTTTTACAGATTTTACAGATCCTCCCAGCGTGCTTCAGAGATTCGTTCACGCAATCAATACGACAAATACCCCGGGTCAAGAGCGTCTAACCCGCGGCATACGCCCAGAATGCACAAGTCCCGTTCGCTCTTTATCCTGCCTGACTGTTTGTCCAGTTGAAGCTAGATGGTGTGTGAGTTGCAGGGCTCGAAATACTGGGGGCATGCACCCAAAATTGGAGCTGTGCGCCCAATTTTTTTCTGTGGGTGCACTGGTGCACCCAAATATTTTTGTAGGCATTTTGTACATATCAAATATACACACATATATATATACAATATACTAAGTGTCAGAAAAATAATATAATCTTTGTTGTAGTACTTGTGTGTAAGATTTTGAAGTTAGCTCCTATTTCAGATTCAAGCTCAGAAGAGGAGCAGTAAGATCTGTAATTAGGTTTTGCTTTATATGGTGCACCCAAAAAATTTTTGGTGCACCTAATTTTTTAGGTTGGGTGCACTAGTGCACCTATTCTCAACAAGACTGGCAATGAAAACATACATTGCCATGGCGACAGTGGTTGCTACATGTATTACTATTAGGGTTATTGTTTGCATGGCACTGTCATCATTTCATGATTTTGAGGAAGACTTGGTAGACAGATACAGTGCACTTCCTCCCTGAGTGTATAATGAACGAGCCCCGGGGTCACAGAAAGTAGGGCCATCTGGGGCAGAGAGGTCTTCCCAAGGGTTCCAGCAATGTGGGCATAGATGTGGGTCAGAGAAATGCCTGTGGACATTCTACATGCCTGTGGACAAAATGCCTGTACCATTCCTAGAATTCTTGCAAACTGCACACAATACTGTACGATTAGGCTCCTCCCTGAGACGTCGCCAAAAATGAATTTCGAGTAGTGCTACATACCGGTTCACTGGACTTGGATCCGGACTTGTAAGAATGTTTAGGTTCAAGTCCAAAAAAACCTAAAAGTCAAGAACCAAGTCCGGACTTATTACCATAAAAGACCATTTCACATACCCCTTTTCTTTCCAAACCACCTAAAACCTTCCGTAGATTGCAAAATCTTTGCTGCAAAATGAAGAAAACATTGCCATCGGGCATCGTCAAGTACCGGCCTCCATGTTATGTGGCCAAAGTTTCACCAAGACAACATTGCAGGGTTGTCAACATGCAATCTTGTATATGCCATGGGTTTAGGTCCGGACTTACAAGTCCGGAACTGAACCTAAACCTCTGGACTTGAATCCGGACCTGAACCTAAAATTGGGTGTAGGTATGCAGCACTAATTTCGAGCCCTGACGAGTTAGTCTGCACACCTTGAGGGCCCCGTGGGCCCAAGGTCGACAGGATCAATGCCTTTGAGTAGGACGAGGCCACTCCTGAATAACCAACTGAAGTGAGGATGAAAATTGAGGTAGCCGGCCGATGACTGCAGAATCCTAATTGCCTTCGCCTGCCTATCTCCCAACTACAGGCCTTCTTTTATACAAACTGTGGACTTACCAGAAACATTCTGAAAGCAGAATAATAATTTCTGATGTCTATCTGCACCTAACATGCATTGGTCAATATGATGTACTGGGTTTATATACAAATGTAGGTGTATGTGGAATTTTTATTTGCTACTTTGACTATCACCACCTATCAAGTAAAAAAATTTCTTAACAGAAATAATGGCAACTGTTTGTATGCAATGTTTAGTGTGATTATTTGCTTCAAGTTCCTAAAGTGAGTGGGGCAGGTAATTAGATTTGATGCACGTTATTTTCAATGTTACCTGCATCAGTGCAGGTATATACGCAAATAAAATGTTTTCGAACTAACCCAAAATGAAATTTTACATCCGTTGCAATGATCTGGAATGATCTGCAATGGTTTTAGTTCAGTGGTGCTGATTCTGCTTGCCCCAAAACTATCAGAATGTCAGACAAGGGACAACACAGTTGACTCTGAGGTCTGCATTGAAATAGCATCTCTTCACTAAGCCTAGCAGTCATGCAGCAATATGTTTCAATAAAACATGGGGCATAATTTCATTTCAGAAATCTTCGGGGAATAACTATAATGGCGGGCGGGTTTGCCCTCTTACCCTTAAACATATTGTCGAGCGCTATCATGGAGGAAAAAGAATGTAGACCGCAAAACGACTGCGAGATTTGCGAGCGCGGAAATGCCTGAAGAGGAGACAATCGAGTTTATACAGCCAGCGTATAGGGATAGAATAGACAGTCTGGCTGGGGGAGAGTGATTGGAAATTTGCAGAAGGTACAATGTAATCATCACTACTGACCAAATCTAATCAATGTGCCCACTAGGCTTGTGGGGTGCCCTGATTTAATTAATTGACAAGTCACTCATTGGCCTGCAATGATAGATATATGCTTGTGGCACTCTGAAGTATTGTGCCTAGGGGGTGGTTGGTTGTATTGATCAGATCATTAGTGAATAGGCCTGTGGCCTTTGAGGTCGGAAGATCGTCATTATGCGTAATGTATCGACTTGGCCTGGGTAACTAGAATTAATATAACCTCAATAAGTCAACATATTTTCATCAAGAGGCAAATTATAACCATAAATAAACTATAGTTAAGCCACAATCAATTTTGATGATAATTGTCTATTAGGTTATTAATAATGTATGTGAATTTTGACTTCCAAACACGGAAGTCTAGTTTTGGGTGTGGAATTCTGTATCTGTTTTTACCAGATAGAGTAGATTGACAGTATGTTGGAGGAGGAAAGATTGACAGGCAGAATGACAGGTCGAGGGTCTTAGAATTTTGATGAACTGAAAGGCAAAGAAACTGTAGTGCAGGTAAAACTTGTTTGGTCCAGGTATTTTATGGTATTATCAGCCACAATTGCAGATATGCGGAAAAAAGTATTTTGAGCCCTGGAAAATAAGGCCATAGCAATTTAACTAGTTCATTCTCTGATTTATTTTAGAAAAAATATGAAGTAATGGTGAAAAAAACAGGCCCAGGCATCCTATATATGATAGTTTTTATTGATAGCCCCAAATGCTATGATTGGAGCCATAAAGTCAACTTTATTTTGCTTATGTTCACTCCCAGGCGCACTATAATTGCAGAGTAGACAGGAAATTCGGGGGACTTTTCCGGATCCAAAAGCCAGGACGTGTGCCTGATAAACAAAAGAAGTGCTGACATTCTGATGTTGATTATTTTTCTATTGTCCCAAAAAAGTGTCTTTTTAGTTGTCCCAGCCTAAATTTTAGTGGTCAGTGGCCATTGAAGAAGAAGAAGGTCTCCCGTGCTCTTGCCCGAGCGTAGGGTGGTGCCCATCTCCATTTCGTAGCCCTTGGGCGACACACAATTGTGCAATGTACTACAGCAGGGGGCTGGTCCGCTGGTAGTGCTGTGTGTTTGACCTTCCCACACTCTTTTTCATATGTGCTGAGTGCTAAGCAGAGAAAGAAGTATGTACCATTTTTAAAGTCTTTGGTATGACCTGGCCGGGGTTTGAACTCACGACCTCCCAGTTACAAAGTGAGCACTCTACCAATTGAGCTATTGCACCGGTTGGCCATTGGACTAACTTTAATTTCGAGCCCTGACCAGGGCCTGTATGATGCCGGGGAACAGTGAAGGATGAAGCCCTCCTCCTGAATAATTCACCATGAAGCCCACATGAAGCCCGCTCCCTGGCGGAGGGTTCAGACAAATGTTTATTGATGAGACAGTTCGCCAGGGGCGGTGTACAATATAGCTGTCATATCTTCACTTCTTCAACAGTCCTCGGCAGAAAGCCTGCGTTTTGTTCTTGAGATTTTATCAGTCTTCTTGTATATATGAATGATGTAGAATGTATGATGTACTTGTTCATTTATTTTTGTGGGGACTTAACTGTAATTCCCAAATTTTTCACTATACTGTTAATAAAAAATGTTAGCTGTTTTCACATTCACTTCTGTACCGTGAACTTATCATTACAGTTAACAAATAATTCCTGGACTTTCTTTTTCCTGCACCTGTCGCCACCGTCAATATTGATAGTATGTAAGTCAGCCCTAGTTGATCAGTATTTTCCTTTCTGTGTTTTTCAGAGACAAAAGAAGAGCTTGAGGACTTAATGGCAGACATCAAAAAGACTGCCAACAAGGTCCGTTCCAAGCTTAAAGGTGAGCATTCAACTTGCTATATACATGTACCTGTCACTGAGTTCAGTCTAAGGTGGCAAGGTGGTCTTTGGTTATTGTTGTTGGCTCAGAATTCAAAGGTTCTGGGTTCGAATCCCTTGCAGTCCTCTTTGTTGTATCCTTGGAAAAGGTACTTTTAACACTTTTTTGCTCAATTACTTCATGTAAAAATGAGCATGGGACCTAAAGCTGGACGTCCTGTGTTTGCATGTTTTATTTAAGATCGTATTTAAGGATGACATCTCACCTATAGTTTTCAATTGTTGTGTCATCATCTGTATAGATGATGACACATCAATTAAGATATCATCTGTAATTCTGGTGCAATGTCAATTCAAACCAAACATCGCAACCAAAAACCGTGAACAATATGGGTTTTGCACAGGCACAATACGTTTTGCCAACATGCTAAACAAACAAGGAAATCGAAATAATGTAAAATCAAGGTATGAAGCATCACTCTTGTGTTATCTTGTCTTCCAGTTATTGAGCAGAACATAGAACAGGAGGAGAGCACCAACAAGGCTTCCGCAGATCTTAGGATACGTAAAACTCAGGTAACGTCACCTGTACACCTTCTTTCTATTAAGAGCTGTGTACCTAAACAAATTTTAGGTACAGGTACAGGTCCAGACATGAACCTGTACCTGAAGAATTTGACCAATTGACATGTACTTCTGAACTCCTTCAATAAGGAGAAAAACATAAAATAAACTTGACAGAAAAGGGTACGTTTTTGTTTATGGAGACAAAATATGAGCAAAACGAAGATGTTTTTGTTTTTTTAATGCATGGAGGACCAGCTATTTCACTATTTTAGGTCAAAAATAAGCATATGTTAGACATATAAGTGTAACTCTATACAGGTACAGTACCGGTACTGACGGATTAGGTATTTTGGACCTGTACCTAATCAACTGCGTACCGGTACACACAGCCCTATTTCTATTATGTTGTTGTACTTTGGCACCTTTGGGATAAAAAAGGTTAAACTAACACACTCACTCACTCACTGTCCGGTTTATTATCTGTTGTTCCCCGTCTTCCAAGGGTTAGACTTAGACGTGCTTGCACAATACATCTGGGGCTTGATGGCAGCACGCCATCAAGCCCCAGACGAAGTATGTTTGTAATGGACAGTTAATAAATGGAAGTATTGTTTTGAGTGTCTGTCTGGACAGAGTAGGTTGACAGCACGTGGGTTGGGGAAGATTGACAGGCAGTATGACGGAGATCAAAAGGTCAGACACAGGAGTAAGGGGGTGAAGTTGAGAGTAGCTTGACAACCCATGAAAGGGTAAAAGATTTGGTGGACTTAATGGAGTGGAAAGGAGGTTTTTACAGTGTTTTAATTTTGTGTTTGGAGCAATACTGTAATACGTGAAAACTGACACAAACACATTTCAAAACTTACACATTTGTACATGTAAACCAATGAAATTTGTATGTTCTGACCAGTGAAAGTGACTGTCTGTACCCGCAGCATTCCACCCTTTCGCGTAAGTTTGTTGAGGTGATGACGGACTACAACACCACGCAAACAGACTACCGCGAGCGCTGCAAAGGGCGCATCCAGCGACAGCTGGAGATCACCGGCAAGCAGACCACCAATGAGGAACTAGAAGAGATGCTAGAGAGTGGGAACCCAGCAATTTTCACCTCTGGGGTAAGTTGCTACTCTTTTTTTTCTTAATGCTTACCTTCGCAGAAGGAAATTATCTTGTTTTAACTCTGTTTCTTCTTTTCTAAACATATAAGGTGAATAACCTGAACCAGATGTCTGTCACCATGGTAACTGGTGCAGTAGCAGACAGGCTGTGGTGTTGGATCATATATGTAGCAAGTTGTAGGACAGTTAGAGGGGCTGGTAACCTAATATGAATGTGTTTGAGTAAGAATTAACAGAGCATTACTTTGTTAGGCTTGGGCTAGGCCATGTGATGGTTAACATAATGGATTTTCTTTCCAAATGTCACCTTTCTAGTCCTTTTTTTTTATTTTGCCTTCAGAAAAATTCATTTGGAACAGTTCTACATCTTGCCATGCTAATGAACTGAAAACCCATTCTCAAGAGCTCTCTCTTTTTTTCTGTTGTCAAGTTCCTGTGCTGTACAAATAAGTGCAGGATGACACCAGATGTGGCCAAGATGCATAAAAAGGTTCTCTCACATACGTACGGATTCAGCTTTTTTTGGCTCTGCAGTTAGCAAAGTCGCCCATTTGCCATGGGTATTGTATCACCAGTGCATCGGGAAAAAGATATAATACCTTTGCCATCATTGGGTACCTGAACTTCGGTATCAATAGCTGAAGCAAGCAATGGAATGGCTATTGTGGACATTTTGCTGTAAAATCAAATGTGAAAGGTATGAAATAGAATGCCTACCATGTACAACAATGTACATGTATTGTAAAGGAGCCCAGGTTAAGAATTTTCCCTCACCTAAAATTGGCCTTTCCAGTGTCATAAGTTGGTTCTAACTTTGATCAGCTCATGCACACGAAAATATCTTGAGTTCATAACAAATTCATTGGCACATTTTCTTGTGTGGATGGTGTTCAGCACCAAGGACAAGTACGTTTTCTTGTGTGGATGGTGTTCAGCACCAAGGACAGGTACGTTTTCTTGTGTGGATGGTGTTCAGCACCAAGGACAGGTACGTTTTCTTGTGTGGATGGTGTTCAGCACCAAGGACAGGTACGTTTTCTTGTGTGGATGGTGTTCAGCACCAAGGACAGGTTTGTCCACGTGCACATTGTGTTCGGCACCAAGGACAGGCATACAACTTGTTTGACAAGTCAGGCAGCTTGTTTCGTTTTTGCCAACTTTTGCTTTTTTTGCGCTCTCGCATTAGATCTGGAGTCTATAGAGGATGTCATCCACAAAATTTACTTGCTATGTTCTTATCTATCTGTCCCAGACCAGTACATTTTATTAGCATGTCGGAAGATCGTACAGCGCCTGTGTAAAACCTGCAATATATTGTTTAACACTATGGTAGAACGTCTCATTTAGGGTTGTGTTCTCATATTTAAAACTGACATCTCGTCTATAGTTTTCGAATGTTGTGTCAGAAAAGATATTGTCTGCAACAGGCAATACTTTGATGCAACGTTGACTAAACATCATCCAATGAGGTTGTGAAAAATCTGGGTTTCGCACAAGCACAGTACATTCTACCAACAGTAGGGTTCGAAATATGTGCTCTCACTGCACAAGTCATGGTTTCTGTGGGAGACTTATTGGAGACGCCGGGTTGTCGGGCACAAAAGTTACGGCTTCTGAAATAAACTGTGTCCCACCTCGGCCAGCATGTGAGCTATACATTTACAGGTGGCCTAGCTTGTGGCTTGCCTTCTGAAATGAACAGCCGGTGCTGATAGCAACCTGAAATGTTGATGGGCATTCTAGCTTTTTGCTAAGTTTGCCTTGTGGGCAACCTGAGAAAAAAATTATTTCAAACCCTGAACATGCTTAGTTTATTAAGGCCACACTGACTTAATTTTATGGATGACATCCCTGGAAGACCCCCAAACTAGTGCGCACGGGCAAATGGAAAAAAATTCCGGCCAAAAAAATGCTACTAAACCACAGGAATACAAAGCTGGTATTGTGAATTTACGGCAGTACGTAGCGACGTGTACGACAAGCCGACACACGCTGGCTTTTTGCAGGAATTTATGAATCAGCACTGTACGTATGTACTGAGTTCTAGAGTCGTGGAGCTTCGGCAGCCTGGGTGCTGTCCTCCAGAGTTACTCCTCCTCTAACTACCATGGACTACCCAGGTCTAGAGCCTCAGAGGACGTAATCTTTTTTTTTTTTTTTTTTGAGAACAGGCGGAAATCAATATGCGTACGGATGTCATCCATAAAATTAAATCGGTGCGGCCCAAGCATGAATACTAACCACTGTACCTTGTACTGTCCCCACAGATCATCATGGACACCCAACATGCAAAGCAGGCCCTGAGTGACATCGAGGCGCGGCACAACGACATCATGAAGCTGGAGAGCAGCATCAGGGAGCTCCACGACATGTTCATGGACATGGCCATGCTTGTAGAACAGCAGGTAAGCAACAGTAAACAAATAAACAAGTAAACAAATAAACAACAAACTCTTTGTTTTGAAGTAACTGATTTGCAAGATTTTGTCCATTAGTAAATAGATTGGTGGGCTTGATAAACTTAAATTTACTCTCACGTGGGGTCATGTGGCATAGCGGCAGAGTGCTCGACTCGGAATCAAGAGGTCCCGGGTTCGAGTCTTGAAATGCCACCGATCTTGTGCCCTAGGGAAAGGCACTTTACACGACTGTCCTCACTTCGCTCAGGTGAAAATGAGTATTGTATTGTCCCCTGTGTTGTTGGCTGCATTAATACAAGTGGAAAAAACTTGAGTGTGCCATCACCACGTCTTGTGATTAGATGTTGGAATCTAAAAAAAAAATAAAAAATTACCCTTATTGACCTTCTCATTGCTGCCTGACCCCACAACCGATACAAGTTTGGTGCTAAACAAGGCAATAATGGACCTATTACATTATTACGTAACAGTTTGTTTACCTGTTCTAAAGAACATTCCAGAACTGTCAGTTAAAGAATAAAGATCATTTCAAAGTTTTCACAGTCAGGTGTGGTTGATTTTTGCTGTGTGTAGTTTTGTTGACACAGCATTACATGCCGTAATGGGTGATTTAGGTGTGACTGTAGACGAAAATGGTAAGGCGAAACACTACACAAACACACAGACCTGTACAATATAAACATCGATTGACCACAAACTGTCCCGGCATTCATTGCGGTAAACAAACTGTGACGTAATAATGTAATTGTAGATGTGTATACAGATAGCATTGGGAAAATATATTATTGGTAATCACCAGAGTGTAATGTAATATTGTTGTCTTCTTCTGAAGACAAAAGCCTTATTTGTAAACTGATTTGTACATAACAGTGTCCAGTTTAATTCCGGAATTCCAGTTTAATTCCGGACTAATTCCCATATCTTAGATGAGCTAATATTCTAAGATATGTAAAAATGATGTAAGAAATATGTAGTAGCCATCGATGACCCCTTGGGAATTAACCCAATTCTGCAGAATTCTGGCTCTAGCTCCCAGAATTCTGCAGAATTCTGCAGAATTTGGTTAATCTGCAGAATTCTGGGAACTAGAGCCAGAATTCTGCAGAATTCTGGCTCCATTTCTGGAGAATTCTGCAGAATTCTGCAGAATTGGGTGAATTCCCAAGGGGTCACCGATGGCTACTACATATTTCTTACATCATTTTTACATATCTTAGAATATTAGCCCATCTAGACGTAAGGTTGCTGAGATATGGGAATTAGTCCGGAATTAAACTGGAATTCCGGAATTAAACTGGACACTGTTACATGTACATGGCAAACCTACAAAATACAATGATAATGTAGCCCAGATGTCAGACAGTTTCTGAGTCTTACTCAAGATGCTGTGGTAAAATTTCCTTTGAGGGAATGTTGGCCCTAGAGCTGAGGAGCTGGCCTGTGCAGTCCCTGGAAACAGTCTGGCATCTGGGCTATGATAAGGCCACACCAATTTAATTTGTTGGTTCTCAGATTTTTTCAGAAAAAATATGAAGCAACAGGGCGAAAAAAAATAGGTCTAGGCATCCTATTATAGCCCCATATGCTACGATAACAGCCTTGAAATCAACACAAAAGGCTGGGTTAATATTTTAAACAATGAATTTTGAACCACTCAGTCTGCATTGATAGATGGAAAAACTGTAACAACTAGGAAAAAAAGGACTTTTCTCAACCGTTGGGGGCAAAATCTGAGCATATTTGAGTTGATTCAGAACCAGAATCTTTTTTTTTTTGCAAATCAGAAAACAATGAAGAGGCAAATCCGAAACCAACAAATTAAATTGGTGTGGCCTAAGGAGGTACTGTACTGTACTATTGTGGCTGGATGTGTATTTCTTGATACATTGATATGGATAAGGATACAGCAATGCAAGTTAAGACACAATGTCTAACATTTAACTTGAAAAGTCTTAGAGCAGGGAGGCCCTTGGTTTATCACTCATGGAGCGTCTACGTGGCAGTTTCTGTGGAGTCTTGTTTGTTCCTGTCTTCACTTCTTCATATCGTATTTCCACTGTGCAGGATTTTCACCCATTCATTGTGTTACAAATGTGGGGAGTTTTCCATGCTGAAGCCACACCAATTTAATTTGTTGGTTCTCGGATTTTTCCAGAAAAAATATGAAGCAACAGGACAAAAAAAATTGAAATAAAAACAGGTCTAGGCATCCTATTATAGCCCCAAATGCTACGATAAGAGCCATGAAGTCGACACAAAAAGGCTGGGTTAATATTTAAACAATGAATTTTGAACTTTTAATCAAACTACTGCAATGATAGATGGAACAACTAGGAAGAATAGGACTTTCCACAACTGTTGGAAGCAACATATGAGCATATTTGAGTTGATTCAGAACCAGAATCTTTTTTTTTGTTGCAAAGTATAAAAAAATGAAGAGGCAAAACCGAGAACCAACAAATTAAATTGGTGTGGTAACAGTAACAAAAGTAACAAAAAAAAAGGCTGTGCTTTTCATGTTTTGATGAAAACCTTTTTGCAGCACCTAGCTATGCCATTCTTTAAGTGATGAGATATTTGTTTTTCTCATTCATTCATCTTCCACGTAGGTACATTTCAGGTAACTACATGTAGATTAGGATTCAAAGTGTCCATTTTTATGGTAAACACAATGTAACCACACTTCCCTTACAATCCACTTGTCTTCGAAATCCTTGAAGTTGTTATTAATGTTATACATGTGCCATTACAATGGAGGTAAGTTTTTTTGTGTCATGCAGAATCATTTTTTAGAAAATCTATGGTTAACTGTTAATTGTTTTGATGGAAAAAAAAAGTTCCACATTTTCCAGCGTTGTTGTTGTGACCGTTTCTTTTGGCCGTGTTTGTCATCACACGTCTGTCCACCCCTTTGTGTCACAAACAGGGCGAAATGATTGACAGGATTGAGTACAATGTGGAACACGCTGCCGATTACGTAGAAACAGCCGTGGCAGACACAAAGAAGGCTGTCCAGTACCAGAGTAAGGCTAGACGGGTGAGTAGGCACGGTGTCGCTACGTAACTTACCGATTGTACTTCTGCATGATCCAGGGAGAAATGATAGACAGAATTGAATACAATGTGGAGCATGCGGTCGACTACGTGGAAACAGCCGTAGGGGATACCAAGAAAGCCGTCAAGTACCAAAGTAAAGCTAGGAGGGTAAGGTTTTCTTTCAGTTGCATTCTGATTTCCGTTGTGGTTGTGTTTGATTTTCTCCATACTTTTACTTTTCGTTTTTGTGCTTCGAGTGCATATTTGTATCGGTCTACGATATGATTTTCCACTTTTTCATACTGCATGTTTGTTTGTGTTTTTTTTATGATTTTACTTTGTGATTTATGTGTGATTTCTGCATGCCTTGGTTGACGTGGATTTTGTGTTTCATGTTTGCATGGTTTTCCGTACGTGTGTCTTGTGGTCGCATCATGAGACATCGTAGCTTGTGTTCGTCGTCTGATTTAAAAAGCATGCTTCGATTCGAAAATGTATAATTTGGGCAAAAAAGCTTTGTAATTTTTTGCCGCTTGGTCATATGTACATACACCGTCACGTTTCTTTCCCTCGACAGAAAAAGATCATGATTGCTGTCTGCATCTTGGTCCTGATCGGAGTCATTGTGATTATCATTGTCGCGTCTGTCTGTGGCACAGGCAGATGCTAACGGTAAAGATTTAACTAAAGATCAAAACGTGCAAAGCTCTCTGAACATAAGCCTTGTGCTTTGCCACACTCACTCACTTTTTTTCTCCTTTGTCCCCGTTTTTTTTCTCACGACAGAAAAAGATCATGATTGCGATCTGTGTGGTGGTGCTGATCGGAGTGATCGCCTTGATAATTGGGCTATCAGTGGGGTTCGGTTGACGTGCGCACACCCCTAACCTGCGGTGATAGTGGTAGTGTCTCCTCGTTAGCGTAACGACGGTGTACGCTGACCTTGTATCTCCACTAACGTGTGGGAATCTTAAGCTCTGGGGGTTCAAAATCTGTGCAAACGTCAAGGTGGCCTACCCAGAACATTGCATGCAAATCAATTTAATCAGGTTAAATTCTCACTCAAGAAAGACTTAAATCAATTAATCCATAAACCAATCATCACTCTAATCTAACCTAAAAGTCTCGTTCAAGACGGACAACTTTTAAATCTTGTTTTTTTGTTCTGTTTTGTTTTTGTTTCCTTCTTTCAAACAGAAAATGTTCATGATAGCTGGCTGTGTGGTGGTACTACTGGTTCTACTAGCTCTCATTATCGGCTTGTCCGTTGGATTGTAACAGACCTGCGTACATTACAAAAGGGGAAAAGCATGCCTGACGTTATTCTGTTCCGAGGTTACAATGTGGGACGACCCAAACTTTGCAACAACGAAGACCAAGCAGATGTTGCTTTTACAATTCACTGGGCACGAACTCAACTTTCGGCCACCCACGGAAAACTCTTGGCAACTCTCGACAGAAGCAAGAAACAAAAAATGGTGGAAGACGTTGTACCAAAATATGATGTTTTGTATCAGGATTTAAAAAAAGATATATTGAAGTAAACGGATGAGAACTAACTTTCATGTTGTATGAAACACCCACCAACAAAATGTATGAAGGCTATAATGATAACTTTTTAGACACATTTGGAACAAAGATCGCCACAAAAATTTTATGATACGAAGAAGTGTTTAAAATGGGATATGCAATGAGGCCATAAATTAAACTTTGTTTGGAAGCAAAATGAAACAACTTCAAAAGTCAGGTTTTTAGATAAACTTAAGTTTGGGTGCCACAAATAGGAACTGAATGGACGTACTCAGAACTGTTAATCCGAAGGCTTTACCCTTGTTACATGCTGTACATAGTTAGCTAAAGGAATGTATTAGAGTATGCAAGAGTGTTCGTACACTCACTTGTAGATAGGATCTGTTGCTCTCTTTGACTTAAGCTCATGTTGAGTAGATTGTCTTCACCACTCTCATTTGTTCACTTAAAAATGCTGCTTTTTAAAAAAAGAAAACGATGTGTATGATTTGATAATTTATCTGAATTGTATGATAACTAACAGATACTTGTCCGATTCCACGACATGGTTTAAAGAAGAAAGATTTGTATTTAGGCAGTCCTATTTTGGAGCGAGAGCAAAAAATCGATAATACGGAATGCCAGTATCTTTGTGAACCCAGTGGAAATGTTTGTTTGTATAGGTTTAGAATTTTCTTTTGGTTTTTGTAATTTGTGGTAGTGCCAAAGTTAACGTCATGTTTAAAGGGGAGCTTAACTCAAATTTTAAAAGCATACTATACTACACTAGGTGTATCCTAATGTCAAGTTAGCACCTATTTTACATGAGTCGGTCATAGTTTACGGTTTCTCCGACCATTTGAAAATCGAGCCGTGGGGACGTCATATTTGCCTGTCTGTTAAACCATACAGTTCTTTTACACAATGTATATCAAACTCATCAAAGACTGTAAACTTGTTGACCCCGTCCAATTCTTCAAAAAATTCCTCAAAAGCTAGTCTCAGAAAAGCTAGCTCAATAACCCATATTCATGCATCATGAAGCAAGTTTAAAATGTAATGTCCAGCATAAGAAATTGGACTTACCCAAATTTTAGATTGTACAAAATCCAGCCTTTGTCAAGGAATGAAAAATTCACCACTTACGTGACGTCATGTTATACATGTGATTCGGTGAGCAGTTACAGGAAGTCTGTGGCGCCCCCCGTCATGTGCTTAAGAATTGTTCTTGTCTCTTTTGTACATTACAAACTTCAAAGGTGAGGAAACTATGGCATTCCAGTGGTAAAAATCTTAACTATGACAGACTAATATAAAACTGGTGAAAACGTGACTTTTGGGTATATTTAGGATAGTATAGTACCCTGGCAACACGCTTTTCGATTTTGAGTTTTGCTCCACTTTAAGTAGAAGAAAACATGGCAGGTGTCTTCTACTGTATAATGATAAATGGACAACGAACACATGGAAGGAAAAATGTTTTACTTGTACATAATATGGGCCAAATAGTAAAGGCCCAGCAATTATTATTTGACAGCATATAATTCTTTGGAACTGACAGCTGGTTTTGATCATGATAATTTTATATATATGTTTCATGGAATTTATTTTACTGGTATGGAAATATGCCTTCCAAAATTCTCAACACGTTTTAATTCATGTTTACTTCAGTTGTCTTTTTCTTCACTAATTAACAATTTTTATAATTGTGTCTATTCAGTAAATGATGTTTTCATGTTATGGAGGATTGGGACAATAAACGCCCAATGAGTTTTGCACATTTGTTGTTTTGTTGGTTTTTGTTTGCTGCTTTCTTTGTGTAAGTGACACTAGTACAGAAGTAGAAATCTTTTATAATGCATGCTGTATGTTTTAATAAATTCTAGATGTCAAATCACATTTCCTTAACGCAGTAAATGCAGTTATTTTCGCAATGGTTTTGTTATTTCGTGGTAGAAATGAGAAACGTCTTTTTTCTCCATGTTTGAAATTTTGGAAGTACAGTAGAAGTAAAAATCAAACACATATTCGCTGTTTTATGATTTGGCAGTAAGAAGTCACCTCAAAAATAAAACCACTGCAAACATTTCAACATTTATTTTGTATTTTGAATGACTCCAAAATGCATAAATCAAGACTTATGAAAATATAATCTCTGCTAGTGGTGACCAATGGTTCCCCTCCATTTAATTAGTCTTTTACACAGACTAGACTCTGAACTGTTCACATATATAGCTCTGCCATAACACAGAAACGCAAGATAAAAACATGAGAGCACAAATATATGACAGATGTACAACCACTCTCACATTGGTTGAACCACTAATTGCCATGCTGTCATTTGTTGAACCACTAATTGCTATGCTGTAATTGGTCAAACTGCTAATTGCCATGCTGTCATTGGTTGAACCACTAATTGCTATGCTGTCATTGGTCAAACTGCTAATTGCCATGCTGTCATTGGTCAAACTGCTAATTGCCATGCTGTCATTGGTCAAACTGCTAATTGCCATGCTTTCATTGGTTGAACTGCTAATTGTGATGGACAGTGCAGAATCGGTCAATTGTCCTCAGGACAGCACACTTAAGTCATTTTAGAGCCATCAAAACATAAAGTCTCTTAACTCGTGATAATCATTGAGGGCTGTAGCCTGTCCTTGACCTTGACTTAATGTCCTTGACTGTCTTGATTAATTATGAGACAGTGCAAATCAGATTACATTTCATCCAACAAGTCCCACAAGGATAATTTATCATTCTTGAATTCACACCTTTCGCGATCAGGTGTCAAGCCAAGTCTATATCCACTTTCAAGTGCAATGCTGTCGGTGGATTCGCAGTCATGGTTTTATGATACGAATACAACGTAAAGTCATCATAACCTCCGTTAGGACGTGTTTAGAGTGGTCACAACAGAATGATTGTGCTGATTTGCCACCTCATAACAAGACAATTGCTGTCTAGTGGAAAGGGGGCCTAAAGTACAGTCGGTTGTGCCAGACATTCAATGATGCCTGGCTTCAGCACCAAGGACAGATGCCATAGTGCATGGAATTGAGATGGACACATGGACACTAGCCTGGGTACCATCCGGATTTTCGCTCCGCAACGCTCGAAAAAATTATTTTTTCGAGCATTGCAGAGCGAAAATCCGGATGGTACCCAGTAGTTTTCGCTCCAGTAAGGCCTCCTTTGCAATTGATGACGATCGCTGAGCAACAATTGAACAACCAAAATTGGCATTGTGTGACCCTTGATTTTGTTCTTTGTCCATGAAATCTGTCAAATATTTAGTCACTCAGCAGTTGTGGCATCTGGTGGAAACGGAATATAACTGTTGGCCAGGTAGCTGCAATATGTGTAGACTTTTTAAGTCCAGAAAAAGCTACGGACAACACTTGACTTTACGTGTAAGAACGCATGTTGGAACTTGGCCGAGCCGTGCCAAGTTTGGACCAGTCACCAGCCGTACTGTTGTCTACCTGTTAATATGTGTCGACAGCAAACATACACTGTACCTCTGTCTTACTCTCTCTTCGCTTGTTCCAACAGAAAAAGATCATGATCATAGTGTGTTGTGCAGTCCTGATCGTGATCATTGTGGGCGTATTCGGGGGCGTCTTTGGCTAAAGGACAAGCACTTACACATCCAGGTAGCCAACTCTATACAGTCGCATGTATATATATGTGTCTGCATGCCGCCACCAATACCCTAGCCTGGTGTCCAGTCTGTTGAGGTTAGGGTGGGCTCTCTTTGGAGTAGTACCGGTAGTTTCCCGCCGCCCAGCTCAACTGGCTGCCCAGTGGGAGTTTTGCACCGGTAGGAGTTTTGCACGACAAGAGTTTGATAGGCTCTAAGCCCTACTGTGATGTGTCTATTGTGGTGGGCTAGTTAAACTTTCTTGGTGCAAAACCTACCGGGAAGCCAAGTTGAGTCGGGCGGCAAAGAGCTCCTGCAACCCCGAAGAGAGCCAGTCCAAACCACAATAGACTGGACAACAGGGTACCAATACACATTCAACTTACCACCCCCTAGATTTACACTATAGGTACCAGTGGTAGGTATTTTGTAGAAATAAATGTGTTGTGGTAGAGACCCAGGGATAATTTTACACAGCAGTTGATGTGATTTCATTATCAGTAGTACCTAGCCTGCTGTCATAACCTCTTCTAGCTGCTGGGAGGAAAGAAACTTGGTTGCTGAAATAGGTTTGGACAGAGGCTAGTTGTACTCAGAAGTGTTTCATTGTGCTAAACTATGTAGCATGTAGGATAGGTGGACAGAATGGTTGAAGAGGTTCATCAGTCACGTAGAATTTTAGAATTTTAATTCTACGTGACTGAAATTAAAATTCTACGTGACTGATGAACCTCAGTGACTGTTTTTGAAAGGTAAAATCATGTACCTCCAAATTTTTGCGGTGTCAACTGTATACCTTGATCACGGAGTGACCTAGTCTCACAAGTCTCGACCTAGTCTTGTGTTCTCGCGAGACTAGGTCAATCCGTGATCAAGGTGTACAGTCGACACTGAAAAAATTTGGAGGTAAATGATTTTACCTTTCAAAAACAGTCACTGATCGAAGAATATTCTACTAACTGGTGGACAGAAGTATTGAAAGTAATGTGTTTTCGAAAACTTATCATATACTGTGAACTCGCACCAAAAAATAAAAAGATAATTCACAGTTTGAAGGGTACGTATGTGACTCGTGGCAGTAACCCAACCTCCCACCACAATTCACAAAGCTTGACGGCTAACTTTTGTTCCCTGTTCTCTTCCCCACACTGCTGGCCAAAGGACCACCTTTACAATGGTAATAACAGTCCAACTCGCAATGGAATGGAAATGGAAGCAGCAGAAAGGCAGAATCCCGTTACAAATACAAACACACAAGTACATGTTATTTCGACATAACATTTTTTTTTCTGTAATCATTTTCATCAATGCATATACATGAGCTTCTAGGCAACCAAAATTAAAATCAAAATTCTTTGCAGAAAACGTACAATGTTTGCTGACTTTTTCTGCAAAACTTAAATCATCAGCCCAGGAGTTTTTAAGTTTTACAGCCTGCCAACTGTACGAAATGGGATTCTGCCTTTGTACTCAAAAGAAACGATGAGCTTCCCTTCTAGTCATATCTACATTGTAGCGTTTCTGAACTTATGTAGGCTGTATATACATATTATGTGTCCACACCTTGTTTGCAAGATACTATAGCAAGCAAGGTCATGCAGTGTTGCCCGTATACTGAGGTAAATACTTTTCAAAGCAACTGCCCTGGCCGTGGTTGTTGTAGAGTTAGGCGATCATTGTGGTTGACTTGGTAAAGAGTAGAGTTAGGCAGAATGCTGTGACCAGTCAGAAAGATAGCTGTGTTAGGTTTAGTTTAAAAAAAAAACGTTCCTGTATTTGTACAACTCTCTCTTTCTCAGAACCTCAGTAGCTTTCCTTCTACATAGCCAAGGTCGGGGCAGCTGCGCATGCAATGTTATTATTACCTGCACGATGCAGAGATTTTTTCGCAGTATTGCAAAGAAATTTTTTTGTTCCAACACTTTGTCTTCCACCGTAAGTTGGTGTACATGTTTCTTTTTTTCTAAATATCTGTGCAAGAATTCTGTTTGGTTCCACCACGTATTATTATTATTATTATTAGCACATCAGACTAGATAGGGTTGAACATGTACATTCCAAACTATATTCTCAAGTCTTTGTCTCACATTCCATTTTGCTGACCATTCCATTGCTCAACGTAGCTGAGACACCAGCCTTTTTACCTTTCATATGCTCTCTATGTCGCTTCTCTTGCAAAAAGACTGGGCCTGTGCATACTTTGTCTGTATGTCACTTGAATATTTGTTCAGAATTTAAACAGGCAAGCTGATTGGCCAAACCTGAGTGGTCAGCCAATCAGCAGACCTGCCCAGTGGATTGAATTAGCTTATTACATGATGTCGTTAACAGATGGGCTCAGTCTTTTTTGGTACTGATGCAACAAAAAGAGTGTACGAAACCTAAAAGGCTGGTATCCAGGCTATGCTTTAAGTGCTCTGTTTCTGGACTTAAATTCTCCATGAGCACACTGCTAACATTTTTTCAATGAAAAAGCTCAGAAACTGATCACTCCATGTATGTTATGTACCAGAGAACTCCACTAATTATTACCATGCATCCATTGCCATCACTGGAAAAATTATGACCAATATCACTTTTTTAAACATAGTTATAATTACTTATTATTTAGATAGAATTATAGGACTGCTAATTGTATAAATACAAAAAAAGAAACATTTGGATGGTGTCAACTTCTCAAGCTAGAAGAAATTTGTGCTTTGAATGTATCGTGTTTAACTCATGTGCACCACTGTACGTGTATGTATAACATGTTAATTTAATCAAGTACTGGTACACTACCCCTTTGGACAACGAACCATGGGCGACACACGGCAACGGTTAACCAACCAATCACTATTGCCGGACAATCACGTGGTAGCGTTCTAACCAATCACATCTAGAGTTAATAAGGTACGTTGCATTTTGCCAGACAATCAAAGTGCAAAAATCAACCAGCCAATGGATGATACGGTCTTGGGGGAAACATTTTGGATAAATACCTGTCTGGCAGTTTGAAGAATAGACCGATCCCCATAGCTCCGCCCACTTTCGTCAATCATAGATATGCAAATAGCTGACGGACGTGTACGTACTATCTCATTGGTCGAACCGCTAATTGCTATTCTCTCATTGGTTGAACTGCTAATTGTAATGGACAG